TCACCGCGGCCGAACTAGAGGTCACAAGACAATATAAGTTACATATTCGGACTCAACAATGAATGGACTTTCATATCCAACCAAAAAATCCCGATTGCCAGTTTAGCAGGATCCTGACAGTCTTCTTTGTTGTTTATTATTTTCAAAATAATTAACTAATAAATTAACAATAAGTATTAGTGTTTTGTAGAGTTCTAGTTTAATAAATCTACTTGTTTATAAATTTACAAATTATTAAAGTAACAGTCGCAATTTTAAGATAAATTATTTTAATTTACTAGTAATTTGTACACAATGATTAATGAAAACAATATTTAAAATTCAAAATTCCTTTATTGATAGTGATTATAAAATACAATAATAATAATAATAATATAAATTTAGTTATTAAAAATTAACTTTTAGAATTTATTTTAATTAACCGGTAAACATTTATGATAATTTTAAGATTAACAAAGTAAAAAATAATCAAAATTAACTGGGTACACTACTGGAAAGTCAAGGTAGTCGTAATCCGATAAATGCTTTAATTTTTAAGGTTGAATTTAAAGGCAGCCATAATTCGCGAATATTGTCCTGGTAATTTAAATTAGAAATATTTTAACATTTATTAAAACTTTCTATAATAAATAAATATACCTGATGACAGTGAAACAGTTTCAACACGATTAACGGCCTCAACTAATTTATAGTCACCATGTTCAAATGATTTTGAGTAGCCAACGGACTCGGCACCTTTACCCCAGGTGTATTCAATGTCGGCCATACTATGACCATCTATTTATAATAATTATAAATAAATCAAATTAACATTTCATTACATTATAGGAAATATTATGCATAGCTCATTTAATAGTGTGATTAATTTTAAAATATGGATTGTTTAAATTGTTTATTGAATGTGTGGTGAATGCTTTTTAATAATTTAATGCTGACAATTTAATAAACATGTAATTATGCTAAAATTGATTTAATTGTTTTGAGCTTGGTAACTTACAGGACTCCATCTCAAGTGAACATTCATCAGGGTTAGATGATTTCTTTGGTCCACATCGGAATGATACCTTTATTCTGAAATTTAGATTATTTAATTAAGTTTACTAATAATCAAGCTAATTATTATATTACTTATAATGAGAATTTTTTTTAAAATCTACTAATTTTAAAAATAATCTTACATTATTAATACATTTATACAAATTACAATTTATAAATAAACATTCTTGGATATTTATCAAAAACAAATAGCTAGCTAATTTTATAATAACTACAATTTAAAACTATCCATGACAAATTTGAAAATAACATACCTCTCGCTGAAAAGGACATCACCATTAGGTTTAATACTAATAAATGTGTTACGGATGGGGTCTTTCACCACCTCCACGTCCAATGAGTTTGCAAAAAATGTGTCTGGTAACCACACCCGGTCCACTAAGGACTTACCACCGACTACACTCTCGGTAAAACCGGTAGCCTCGAGTCGTGGGTCAGTCCACTTTTGGCGGAAATACATGACCACGTCCATTTTCTGTAGTATAATTTTTGGGTTATATGACAAATATTTACAAAAAATTAAATAAATTTATGACGTACCCGGTCATTTGCGTCAAATTCATAGTCAACCACGTACATGGTGACTCCCACTTTGACTGTGGTATTTTCTGAAAATATTTTTAATTTTTATTAATTAGCTACCAAGATAGTTTTCATGTTTTTCTATATTTACCGCCTAAATAAGGGCGAATATCCTTGTCGTATAACTCGGGGCTAGTAATAGCTTTGAAATTTTTCACCGCGGCCACTTTTGAGCTAGATTAAAAATGTTAATTTTAGTTGAGTTAAATAATTTTTAAAAGTATTATTTACTTGGCCGAGGTGATATGTTTGGCATAGCACACGGCAATAGCGCACAAAATTATTATAGTTTTCATTTTGGTGTTCAAAATATATGACAATATTTTTCAAACTTTAATAACTTAATATTGAATTGATTTGTGTGTAGTATTGAAGTGACCAGAGTATTTATAGAAATTTTTAAATCAATTATTATTTACAGTTTATTAAGGATATCCTAATTTTAAAAATATAATACACATGTATGATTATAATTAATAAACATATTTTTTATTTATGTTAAAATTGTAAACATTTTTTTACAAAAAATATTTTATGTAATAATTCTAGGAATTGTTATTTACTATTGCGTTAAAATTATTTGATAAATAAAAGCATCATTTAAAATTATCAAGTTTTAAAAATATTTGTGCTATTAAGTATAGCACATGTTATATAATATAAATAAATTTTATTTATTAAGTTTAAATCACGTTGAACTTGAAATGCTTAATTAACTTAAATATTTATGATTGACGTCAATTGATTATGAAAATGTGTATCATTGATAAAAGCATATTAAGTACATCGAGATTTATATATTACATAATGTATGGGAAATAGTTTTATAAATTGTAAGAATTTTTTAAAATATTATTTATATAAAATAATAGATTAGTTTATATTTTAATCATAATCACGTGCTCTATAACTGTACATTATACCTAATAGTATATTTTCATTTGTATTTTTAAATTATTAAAAACAGTATTAAAATATTAGCGCTAAAAATCTGAAATCAATTAAATTCAAATATTATATAATTTATCGTATGCTTTGAATAATTTTACAATAAATTATATTATCATTAATATTCATAATTAAGAATGGGTATTTTATTTAATAGTGTTAACATAGTTTTATTATAAATTATAACTTTGGAGCAAAGCCTTAATGTTACCCTGAACATTCATTCATTAATTAGACATTAAACTTGTGTGTATATATGAATGCATCACTACAAATATACAAATGTATTTTAGTTATTAAAAGTTTATTCATTTTCTATATAAAATAATATATTAAAATTGAATCATTGAATTGTTTAAATGTATAAAATCATTATTTTTCATAAACTCATTATTTTAATTAATTTATTTTTCATTATAAAATGAATAAACTTCTAAAACCTTGAATGATTAATTTATTTGTGTTAAAACATTCATATTTACTATGAGTATATGTCTATATATCTAATGGATAACATTAAGGCCTTGCTCCAAAGTTATAATTTATACGAAAACTACGTTAACACTATTTATTAAATAAAATACCTATTCTTATTCATAATGTATTTATTTTTATTAAAATAACCAAACTATTTTACCAACTAGTTAATATTGAATTTAATAGTATATGCAATTATAAATCATGTATATTTAACTAATGTATTATTATAAATAAAACGTAAAATTTAAATATATTATATTTAATTTTACACCACTCAATTATATCTATACTACATTATCAGTTTTTTAATTAAATAAAAATATGCATAATTGTTGAATAATATTATAATTATTATCAGTTGAAATATGCGAAATAAAAATCAGTATCATACTTTTAGTAAATAATATTTTAAATTTATAGTAATTTTTAAATATTCAATCTGAATTAAATTTGCGATTATTATTAGTGTACTATCATTAAGGTTGTAAAACTAGAATAATTCATTTATTCAGTCGTTTATGTGAACTATAATAATAACTAATTATAATTATTTTGCCAATTCTGTTCTGTATTTATATATATAACATTAAAGTTATAAGTATTAAGTCTATTAATTTTATAATATCAGGATAAGTTACGGGTGAATAATGAAATAAGTGGTAATAAACTTACAGTAATCTTTTAAGCTACATTACAATGCTATGTCTCAATTAGAGCATAAGTGTAATTTTATATTATGAGAGCAATTTTCTTATAATAAATTTAACGTCATCAAGGATGTCCTTAATGTTCGATTAATATCTGAATTAGTATACCTATACATATTTTAGAATAGTAAAGTATTTTCTAACTTTATTACACCAAAGTTTGTTTTATTTTGTAGTGCTATAATAAAAATTATAATTGTATAATATACATTGTACACTGTGCACTTTTTGTAGAAAATAAATTATATTGTTAAGTAATAAGTAAAAATGTTTGGCCAATATTTATGGTTTAGTTTTGCATTGAGTGTAGTGTTTGTAATTGGTAAATGTGATCAACAAGATAATTTATTCACATGTTCAAAACCAAGTTCAAATACTAGAGAGCTACCCAAATATTGCTACCAAAAACGTAGCAAACAGTTTCGGGAAACATGTTGCAATGTCAAGCCTAACTCACCCGATACAGAATTTTGTGGCAAGGTGAGTTTCTTAATATTATATAAACTTTTTATTTATAAATAACTTGCTAATTTTTACAGATTGAATGCGAACAAATTTTAGATTGCGATGTCCATAGCGATAACATTGTAATAATAAATAATGTTACTAGTAATGGGTGTTGCCCAGCGTGTGTACATTTACTAAGTAAGTTACAACATAAATATAATTGTTAACCATTGTAGTTAGTTTACTTAAATTGTAGTATTTTTGTAGATGAAAATCAGGATTGCCAAGTTGGCAATTTATTATTCCGGTGCCGCAATGGGCTGGAGTGCGATGCATCCACCCGACAATGTCATGTCCCCAAAGGAAGTGACCCAGCTAAACTGCCCAAATGTCTTACTGAGTATCATAATAGGGAACTGGTGGCTAATGATAAAAATAGTTTTTATGTTAAAAGTACTAAACCCGGTGAAATCAGTTATTACGCTATTGAATATATACAAGATTTAGTAGACCTACCAGATTGCAATCACAAAACCGGGAACTATCAACTAAAACAATGTCGCCAAGATCAGTTAGTATTTATAAATAGAAAAATATGATTAACATATAATTACTTATAAAAGGTATAAACTTTAATTAATATACTATACTTTAATTATTATATTATACGCAAGGTGCTTTTGTGTAAATCCTACTGATGGTAAATTCACATTTGGCCTAACACAAAGACATGTGGCCGAAAACGTGACGTGTACATGCTCTGATCATTTTAATCAGTTATTGGTCACCGGTACTCGTGGCTGTAATGGTGGACAATGTAAACAGGATGACATTTCTGAAAATACCCTAGAATATTATTCACAAATACACCAAAAATGTGACAGTGGTGGAAATTGGGAACGCCTACAGTGCAATAGTGGTATATGTTTCTGTGTTGATCCAAAAACTGGCAAGCCTACCACTGACAAAGCGGCATTGTATGGTGCACTACAGTCATTAGCATGTTGTAAGCTATCAAAATTAATTAAAATTAATGTTACATTGTTTATGGATATAATAAAATTATTATATCCTAAATAAATTTTTTTTAAATAAGCTAGGTAATTTTATGTAATTAAATTTAATTATTATTTACAGTTGATCAAGCAAAGAGTAAACAAGTAAACACAAAGGAGTCGGATACTAATTATTTGAATGGATGCGAAAAGTTAGTATTAGGTCCGGAGTCGTATGCATTGGAGTTCAAGAAACGCGGTTATGACCCCAAAAATATGCGAAGGGTTGCATGCTCAGCTGATGGAAAATACGCTACGAAACAATGTGATCGAGGTGAAACATTTATTAACACTATACCTTTGTTACCAATGTTTGTTACAAATTAAATAAATTTTATTAAATTTTATTTTTAAAATAAAAAATAACCTAACCTAACCTAACTCTAATTTCAAAATTCATAACTAATTAAAATATCACACTCTAGCAATATGTCAATGTGTCAACCCTACTGATGCCAAACCCCTTGACAACGCTCAGATAGATAAATTGCAACTTAATGGTCGGGACATGACATGCCGGTGCGCATTACAAAACTACCTTACTCAATACGAACTACAGTCATACCGGGAACTATCGTGCGATCAGCTAGGTAACTACGATGCCTATCAGTGCTTTGACGAGGGGAAACGGTGCTTTTGTGTCGATGAGCATGGTGCACCAATCACCAATGATGGCACAATGAGTTGCCTGGATCAGTTTATAAAAGAGTACACAGATGCCAACTTGTATCCGGATCAAATTTGTTTGATGTTGCGTAAGACTTTGACAGATTTACCAATGACCAAGGATAAGGTCAATATTTTGTTGCTAGATTCAGTTTGGAAAATAGTTTCTAGTGATAAGCCTGTTGATATTTATGAATGTAATAAATAATGTTAATTATAGAAAAATATTATATTTACAATATTGATAAATAATTAATTAATAATATAAATAGGTAAGAATAATGTCGAAAGTGTATGTTGAGTTGCCTAAGCTGGCACCCGGGATATTATGATTGATTCCCATAGACCTTTTAACCCTGATTCCGAATATGTAACTTATATTGTCCTGTGACCTCGGGTTCGGCCGCAGTCACCACTTTTATAAAGAATATTTTCGGAAAAAATTCAAGCATGTTAAATATGAAATCAATGTTGAATTTAACGTAGAATAAGAATATTTTACTCAATTTAATATTAAAATAATATTTTAAGGTATTAATATGAAATTAAAAAATAATTTTAAAAAAAAAGTATTTTTCTTATGATATAAACGTCAATCGGGAATCTTCTTCAGACAAATGGGGAAGAATTGATGGTTTTGATTATCTTGATGATTTTCCCCATTTGTCTGAAGATCTCCGATCCCGGTAGTTACCAACTGAGACAGGTCCGATCTTATTATGTGGAGCATATTAAGATCAATGGGAGTTATGTGATTAATTTGTGCAAACCCTCTCAGTTGGTGACCCACTGTTGATTCGAGGGCGGATACAGTCTGGACACCGTTCTTCCACTAGATACTTTATCTACATCCTCATCGACAAAGCAGTTCAAGTCAATGAGAAGGACGGTGTCGATTCTGTATCAGGATATTCTTTTTCTTGCCTTAACGGCCTAAGAACTGTTTTCTGTTGTGATCATGTGGCCACAGTTCTGTGGTATCTCGGATTTGGTCGTAACCAATCCGAGATCCTAATTCCCGCAGAATTTTTATTGAAAGAACAAGAATAACAAAGCGACATTTTGCATTGACAAAGGTGATTTTTGGGGTTGCTGGTGGGATTGTGGAGAACAGTGGGTGGTTTGGAGTTTTTTCGGTTGGGATGTTAGGGTGGGATGGGGGAGGTGGTTGAGAAGTTATTATATTTTGACCAATGGTCATGTAGTTGATTTTTAAATAAAAATGTGCAATATTTGATTATTCGGTTGTTTAATATTAATTTAATTCAGTAATTATTAATTTAATATTATTTACAGTAAAATATTCTTATTCTACATTAAATTCCACATTGATTTCATATATCATTTGTTGGTATTTTTTCAAAAAATATTCCCGACAAAAGTGGTCACTGCGGCCGAACCCGAGGTCACAGGACAATATAAGTTACATATTCGGACTCAGGGTTAAATGTTCTATAAGAATCAATCATAATATCCCGGTTGCCAGCTTAGGCCGAATCCGACAGTATCCTTTAAATGTGTAATTCATATACTTGTATGAATAAATATATGTTATTTAAAAAAAATTAGTAAATAATTTATTATAAAATAGGATTAGTATGATAATATTAGACCTTATAAAATATTTATTTTAAAAAATTATATAATTATTAAAAATATAATACCTTTTAATTGTGAGACTAATAATAAAAATAATTAATTTTATGTATAAAAAATAAATAAATAATAAATAAATAGCTAATATTTGGTATTAAACTATTTGATAAAATTGACATTGTAATATTTACAATTAATTTATGTCAAATTAAATAATGATTTATGATTGTACTGCACTATATATTTTATTTGTCATATAATATTTCTAAATGATTATGACCTTGTTGATATTGAAAAATTGAAAAGTATTTGTAAATACTTGTGTAAATTCAACAGTTTAAATATTTTAATATAAAAAAGTATACATAAAAAATATAAAACTATTTGATAAATTAAATATAAATTCAAAAATACAAAATTTTAATATAAAATAAATGTTGTATAAACCGCCAAAATTATTTATACCAAATATATAAACATATTTTCAGATAATAAATGATAAATTGATTACTTTGTTATTTATTATTATGGTGTAGTATGTTATCTTATGCGACCATTTTTAATTAAAATTTTTTATTGATTTTAAGTATATAAAAATATTAAGTTTAAAAACAAAGTAACCCGGTTGTAAATGTAATAAACAAACATTAATATATCATACTGTACCATGGATGATTTAAAATGTACAATATGTGATGATAAAGCAATTGGTATGTTTATTTTGTATATTAAATAAACAACATTAACATGGTGTTTAGTAAATTAATTATACGCGTGCATATTTAATAAAAATACGTTAAAATTAATGTTTTAAATCAACAAGGTTATAATTTTGGACAACTAACATGTGCATCGTGCAAAGAATTTTTCCGTAGAAACGCTAATAAAAATGAGGTATTAATAGTACTAAATAGTAATAAATGTTTACTAAACTAACCTAGTTTAATTATATTGTTTAAATTATTTAATAGGATTTTAAATGTCGATTCGTTGAGAACTGTAAAATTGATATAAAATCGCGTCGAAAATGTCCAAAATGTAGACTTCATAAATGCTTGGCAGTGGGCATGAATAAGGTTTGTAAAACTCACCTTAGTATCAAATGTCTAATTAAATAATATATTTCTAACAGGAATTAATACAAAATGATATTCAAAATAATTTGCGGCGACTTCATATGAAAGAAAATAAATTAAACAAGCACGATAAATTTGATTGTAAAAGCATAGAAAATGTGCTAGATTGCTCTGAATTAATCTCAGATTTAAGTAGCGATACTCAAAACCCTGATACGACTAATTCACATGATCAATCCAAAAATGATTTTATTTATCAGGCTCATATTGATGAAAGAATTAGTGCATTTAATAAGTCACCAATATACACCATATTTAAAATACTACCAGATTGTAAAGGTTGGAAAGATCTTGAGTTCAGCAGAGTATCCGAGTTGGGTGCAGCGTGTAAAATATTAGACTACCCTGATACAAAGTACAAAATAAGCATGTACAACAATTTTGAACTAGCTCGAACTGGTTCAGGTAGAATGGAAACCCAAATCCAGGAGCTTACAATATTTTCGCAAAGTTTAAATGGATTTTTAAATTTATGCCCTGATGATAAAATAACCCTCATCAAATACGGAACGTTTGAGTTGTTAACGTTTGGTTATTTAAGAAATTATAACTACAATACACAAAAGTTTCTCGTAAATTTAGTAGGCTATTTACAAATTTTGACCTATGTAAAAATACTTTTAATTATTTTTGTACTTATAGGATCATGAGCATTCTATGGAAATTGGTATTGAATTGTTTAACTGGAAACGTATAAATATTGCTAATTTTTTCAAAGAGTTTATTAACTTATTATGGTCAGATATCGATGGGGACTTTGTTGTAAAAAATTTGGTAATATCTAGATTTTTTCTATTTTAATAAAAATATAATTATTTATTCATTCATCCCTTAAAAGTTGACTGCAATCATATTATTCAATCAAAATCGACCAGGATTAATAAATAGGCATTATATTAAGTAAGCAAGGAGATTTTGTTACATATTACTTATTATTATACAACCTTAATAGTTATTTTTATTTTAGACTTCAACAGCAACTTTATATTTATTTATTACAACGTTATTTGCTATTAAAATATCATGATGAATCTGATTCGCAACATAAATTACAAACATTTATGACTTTATTAAATAAACTAAATGTTCTCGGTGAAATGAATATCCAGTTTGGCTTACAAGAGTTCAAAGATTTAGTGCCATATATGGGCCCAATTCACCGGGAGGTATATGGTGTCGACCGTGAATGCAGTAATATTATGTAAATTTATATAGTTTTTAGTATTTTTAAAAATTTTAATCTTGTAATAAATTATAATATTAATATAATTTGGAAACCTGTATTTTTAATAATTTTTTATTTTATAAAATAATAAATCTGATTTTATAATCCGATAATTATTAGTTATATAATATATCAACTACGTAAAATTGAGAAGGGACATATATGATTGCAAAACTTTAAATAGGGTTATCAATACAGCTAAATCATATACAACATCACCATGTTGAACTGAATGCGTGCTCATTGTTTAAGATTAGATTATCGCTAATTTGGACCACAATTAGCATTATAATCACGTAATCTGTAGTATTTGTTGAGCAAAATGAATGAATTAACAAGATATCTGATAGACCAAAATGAGATCGACCTCTGAAAAGTTGCTTTTATTTCTTCTTGAAACATTGCTTTTCTGTAAAGTTTGAAATTTATAATGTTTAATATAAGTAAATTTCAAACTTTACAGAAAAGCAATGTTTCACGAAAAAATAAAAGCAATTTTTCAGAGGTCGATCTCATTTTGGTCTACCAGATATATTTATATAAGATTTTTATTTTAAATAGCAAAGTAGTAAGATGTGAACATATTGTGTGAATGATAATCTGAACACGCAGACATAATGAAATGATTTTGAATCTTACATTATAGTATGTCTAACAGGTATTAAATTAATTATTTTTGATTCATTATAACCCTACTTTATCATTTATTGTATTTTATTTTTAGTTTTACTAATAATTTTAGTTTATATAAACAATGTGTAATATATTCATTGAATGTGCATTAATTATATAGCACAATGCAACAGCATTTGAATACACTATAAATATAAACTTGTACTAAAAGTTATATAAAAATGTTATTTAGTAGATTAATTTACAATGGTTACAGCTATGTGTTTTTATTTGCTCAATGCTATGTCAGAAATTTGTCTAAATTATAAACACATTTAGTTAACTAGCACTGAATATGCTTGTATCACTGAATGTCAATATTGTAAATAGTAAAAACGACCTTGATCGTATTTATGATTAAAGCACATTCAGTACAATGTTTATTTACTCTACTTATTTTCAAATCAAATTTTTAATTTGACAATGTGACAATAAAAGTGACAAAATTAGCACGCTGATTGATTTCAAACACGTTATATGAAACTGAACTAATTTCTTGTGATAAGCCACATAAAATAAACAAATTAAATACAGTAGTAATATACTGTATATAGTTGTATAAATATAGTTGTATATATATAAAAAGTTAAGTGAAAAGTTATAAAAATCGTGAAACAAACTAATTAATTATATATAAAGATGAACAAGCAAATACCTGATGTGAAACACGTGTCCGATATAATTGGTGAATGGGGTACATGGCAGTTTACATTCGTAACATTCAGCTATATATTGGGTGCTGTCGGTGCCCTTAATAACATGGGTTACGGTTTTCACGCCTATGGCAACGACTATTGGTGTAGTGATGTCCCGGCTGACTATCCGGTAAAATACAAAATACAATTGATCATGTTAATATATTAATATTTTCATAAAAATTTCAGAATAAAACAAAGGAAATGAAATGTTTTAAATTTATGAAACCAAATGAACCTTGCACGGAATGGCAATATGATCGGACACAATTTGGCAACTCCATAACTACAGAAGTACATTTAAAACTAATATTAACATTCCATAATATATGTATATATATTAATAATGGTCCCAGTTTAATTTAGTATGCGACCGAGCTAACTACGGCACGTACTCGCAAACGGCGTTTATGTTGGGGTATGTCGTGTCGGGACTGGTATTCTCGCACTACTCCGATAAGTACGGTCGACGGCCTACCGTATGGGCGGCATTTGGCGTGGAGATACTGGGCATTATAATATGCATACTGTCCCCTAATATATTCCTGTACTCATTTGCACGATTTCTGGTGGCATCCGGTGGCACCGGGAGGGGTAATGCCATTTATGTAACATGTAAGTATATACTTATTAACTTTAAACTAACTAAATTTTTATTAATAAATATATAATTTTATTTTAAAACTAATCGCAGTAATGGAAAGTTGCGGACCAAAGTACCGAGATACTATTGTAATATTAGGTGGCATTGGATGGGTAGTTGGTTACGCTATCGTGCCGGGCCTGGCGTATTGGCTCCAGGACTACCGATACATGCAATTAGTATCAGTCGTCGTATTGGTATTAATGGTGTTTTGGTATTACTATATGTTTGAGAGCCCGCGTTGGCTCATAACCAACGGATACGTCGATCGCGCGGAACATACGCTCCGGAAAGCCCTTAAAATGAACGGAAAGTCCGACAAAAATCTTAAGCAACAGTTGACTGAGTTGTCCGACCATTTGAAAGAGGTTTGCAATTATAATATTTTTAAAATAATATATTTATACTTAGAGTATATAAGCATACAAAGTACCTGGTTTGTCAGACTCTGTAATCACAAGGAGTGTATTAAGTTGGCAAATTAATAAGCTACTAGCTAATTTAATTAAGTAACAAATTATAATAGTGAAACAATATCATAGTCAACATTTACACATTTTTAATATTAAAGTAGGGGCACATTTTAAAAATCATTTTAAATATTAACAGCTATAATTGTTTTTATTATCAAGCATAAAGCTTAATAATAATCAAAACAACTTTTAAAATAAAAATTATTTTATTTTTAGATTCAAGCAAAAGAAAAACCGCTGAAAGATATCACAGTATTAGACGTTATAAAAACGCCTAAACTTCGCAAAGTGTCCTTGATCATATGGTACTCGCTCACTGTAATCGCGTTACTATACTACGGACTAAGTTTTAACATGGCCGATTTTGGTGGTAACTTCTACATAACCTTTCTACTATCTGGCCTGGCTGAACTGCCCGCCCAACTACTGACAGCCCTATTCATGCGATTCATTGGACGCCGCAAACTATTTGCCATATTTATGGTAATCACAGGATTGTCTAGTTTAGCGGTAATACCATCCCGTAGTGAATGGCTAAAAGTGACCTGGGCACTTGTTAGTAAGTTTGGTGTGGGCAGTGCCTGGAATGTCATGGCTATTATGGGACCCGAGCTCTACCCTACGGTACTCCGACAGAGGGGAATGGGAGCCGCGTTTGTTATAGCAAGGGTTGGCGCTATATTTGGACCCTTTATGAAGAACCTGGTACTTTTAATTTTAATTTCGAATTATTAAATTAGTTATTAAAAATTATGTAACGTGATTAAATAAAATTAATTTATTTACTTTAGACAGCGACCTATGGCCTGGCATTTGTGATGGTAATGTATGGCACCCTGGCATTTATATCGGCTATATTGGCGTTATTTATGCCCGAAACCAAGGGTAAAGAAATACCCGATACTATTGAAGAGGCTGAGCATGGTCAGTTAACAGAGTTAAAAGTGCAACCTAATTAAATAATGATCTGAATTTAAAATATATTCTATGATATTATTTATTTGAAATTGTTTAATAGTATCGGGTATTTCTTTACCCTTGGTTTCGGGCATAAATAACGCCAATATAGCCGATATAAATGCCAGGGTGCCATACATTACCATCACAAATGCCAGGCCATAGGTCGCTGTCTAA